ACGGCGTGTTATTTTACTAGCAACAATAAGCAGAAAAATGCGTCTTTTCACTTTCTACACTATTTATTAATTGCTTTATTGTGTTCTCATCCGGTAGACAAATGATCCATCTTTACTTCATTTTGACCTATTTAGATGGATCAGAAAAGCAACTTCATAATTTTTTTATCTGAAACAATTCCAATGTTTCATTGCGCTTCAACTTGAAGAAAGCTTTTTGATGAAAAGGACAACTGAGCTGAATGAGAAAAAAAAGTTTTAAAAACATCGGCAAGGGCCAACAAATAATCATAGTAACTATAATTGTGGTTTCTGCAATTTGCAAAGGATGTATTGAAAACTATTCAGCCCGTCTAACAATAGTCCGTTTTTCTGAATTCCCTACAACCCAGACTCAAAAAATTTTTTTTGAGAAAAAGCTTTTTATAGCAACTCAAGGCCGTTTTTTGCATATAAAGAAAACTAATGAGCTATAATGACTAGCTTGCCATGTTCCAATTTTCAGGAAAACGTTTGCAATTTTTTTAAATATTGTTTGAACAACAACTTAAGTGGCTTTTGTATGATATATAAACCAATTATGTTCCAATCATTATTTGTGGACTCAATTTTAAAAACTGAACCAAGACGGAAGACAAAACTCCTCCCCATTTCAATTGGTCGCAGCAAAACATAATTATTTTTGATAGAAAAGAAAAAATCTCTATTTTTTCCAAGTTTATGTTTTTATAACTGCAGCTCATTTTTCAAAGAAACCTTAAATAACTAATCTGTAAGTTTTGTTTTTTATCTAAATCTTTTGTATATTTTAAAACCAACTATCAATCAAATGACTAAAAAAACTTCCCCGAAAGATATTTTAAGGATTATGTAACCCGGGTTGGATAAATCTGTCCAACGGTTACTAGTTCGAGGCCGACCATGATCCGACGGAAGATAAAACTCCTCATCATTTCAATTGCTCGTAGCAAATCTAAATTATTTTTGATGAAAAAGAACAAATCCTAATTTTTTCCAAGTTTGTCTTTTCATATTAATGCAGCAATTCAAAGAAACAAAAAACAACTAATTTGTAAGTTTTTTGCCTAAACTAATAGGTTTTTATAAATATCGACCAAATAGTCTCAGGAGTTGAAACTTTTTGCAAGCAATATCATCAGGCTGATAAAAAGTCAAACAATTTTCTATAATGACTCTCAAAAATCTGAAATCTCCTCCCTAGTTTATTTTGTACGATAGATTTTTCGCATTTTTTGTGTTTTGTGACCCAATTACATAACTGATTTTTCTAAAATAATTTTTACTTTGTTGGCTTTGCACGTCTACAATTTCAAGTTTTTCTTTGAATTTTTGTACTGCGCTCCAAATTTTGTAGGCGCAAAAACAGGTTTTGTTAACCGCGAAAAGTAACTTTTTTATTAGATGGGAATGTCATTTGTTCATATTAAAAATAGAATCGGTCCAAGTACAGAGACCGGTGTAACACCGTATTTTATCTACAACTTATTCAAAATCTTTGAATTCGAATTACCAAATGGTATCGATAAATTCAAGAAAACTTTATAAGACAGTAGCAGGCGCCACGAAAGCCACAGCCCTCTTATTTTTTTCAAAAAAACTTTGAAGCGGTGGTGACAATCGTTAATTGAAAACCTATAAAACAAGCCGAATCTAGGTTTTTCAAACACTAGCAAGATCGCGCAATTTTTGTTGCAGTAAAGATTTTGTTGTTAAATGAAGTTTTTTCTGACTGCGAAATTTTTACTGCTAGAGTTTTAAACTTGTTATTCATTTTCAAGAAACTTTTGAAAAGCAATTTTTCGATGACTTTGTTTAATAAGGAAAGCAAATTTTTTGTTCTTAAATTGTTATAGCCCCCTTTGTATCAAAGGGCTGCTTTTTTGCACCCATCTAGAAATTTTCCATAAACCAACATTTGATGAAAAAAATCGGTTATTGGATAGATAATTACCTCAGCAAATAGTCTAATCGAATTTGTTACGTATGCCATATGTACCACTAGATGATATCTTTTCAGGTGATTTTTAAACTTTAATTAATTCATCATGATATGCGAATTAGAAACAAATAGAGGAGTCGTTTTGAGTAAGCGTAAAACAAATACTGTTCTGATAACCTTGCATGTCTAGCAGTTTACACAATGGCAACAAAAAACTGGTTGAACTCAGTCAAATCTAGTGGAAAAATCTTTTGTTTCCCGCAAAAACCATTAAAAGCAGAGAACAGTGATATGAAATTACAAATATTTATCTAGTTTTATCGTAGTAACCCTTGTTGATCTGTCTGATGAGACGGACAGCTTAGACAATTGAACTTAATACTGCAATTAAAAAAATTTTTACGTTTTTCTGACTTTTTTTTATCGCCAGTCTCGTTTTTGCAAAAGTTTTCAGTTTTCATTTTTTCTGTTCTGATAGTTTCTCAGCAATGAAAGTTTATCAAGAACGTCAAAAATTGAGTTAAACAACGAAAAAAAGAAGATTTTTACTTCTAGCATTTACATAAAATTTTCTGTTTTTTCTCAACTGACATTGTTTCAGCTCTAGTTTATTTTAAGAGTTGGTACGAGCTTATATATCAGATGAGTTTATGAGTTTTGAACTGAAAGTCCAAAAGTCCAAAAAGCAACTAAACTAAATAAACCCTGACTTTGAATGCTGATCAGGAATATCTAAGTTAAGTATCCCGCATAAAAAGGTGCTTTTCTCGACAGCATTTATATCAATAAACAGAAGTTTCAGCTCATGTAAAAATTACCATAAATTATTGATGTTGGTCGCTATAAAAAAAACATTTTAAATGTTTGTCCGTTTTTTCACTCGAAGAATTAACCATTTTTTCTAATTCACTTTTGATACTGTGTGTATCTAAGTGAGCGCTTTTTATCACAAACGCCGCAATAGCCCCGTCTGTTGCATGTTAAAATTTTTTTGGTAACCAACTTGTTAGTATAAATCTAAATGATCGTCACCATGTAACCATGCTTCACATAGACCTACTGCTGTGGCTAACGAGTCTAAGCGTTCTAAATTACATTTTAGAAAATCATGCTGGCGTTTTAAAGATCACAGTTTAAGAAAAAAATTAATGAAATGTTTTTGAATCCGTGTTGTAGCTCCATCCGTGTTTTGTTTTCCTTTATGAACCATAAAATTTTATAGTTGTTAGAGCTTGGTTATCAAATTATCTTGCTCAGTTCTGCTCTAAGCTAACCATTAGTTAACAATTCTATATCATCAACAATAATTTCTGAAAGATTATCTCCTACAAGAGAAGACATGTTGTTTAGTTCAGTCTCAAGATTGATGAGCGGTTCAAGATTGTCTTCTGTTTCTTTTTTTTTTGCTATTTCTCACAAAATGCTGAGCCAATTTTCCCCTAAATTATCAGCAAAATCAGGTAAATCAATTGAAATTCAAGCCTCGCTTTTTAGCTTAAAACCAAAGCACTGTCAATTTTCTTGCAGTTAATTCCAATTCATTTTTCCTTTACAAATAACGAAAACCTGATTTCTTTTGCTGTCGTCATATATCAAGGATTCGACTCACTACCAACCCAAAGTTTTTTGTAATATCCATTTTTGATGACGTACCTTATATTTTTCAACGGAAGCCTTTGGCGCCAGTATATACTAAATTTGAGGGGGGAGCGTGCGCCGAAAAAACGCCATTTTTGATCAAATTTTTCAAAAAGTGCCTAAAACGTCTTTTTCGGCCTGTTTTTTTGAAAATATTGCCTACGGCATAGAAATTTTAATAAAAATATTGGCCAAAACAGGGTCTTTGTAGCGCTTTGAAAGTGCTCAGAAAATTAATTTGATCAACCTAAAAAAAAATTCATCAAATTTATGAAACATTTCTGAAAATCTGTCGCCCCCCCCCCCCCCCCCACATATAAGAGATCATTCATAAGTTGATCAATTTAGTCAGAGATTGAACTCAACTTTGTTTTTTGTTGCAAAAAAGCTTGCTCGTCCTGCAAAGCCATATATTAAAATACAACGGCTATTTCAGTCTATGAATATTAACTCCTGGGATTATGTGAGGTTTTATTGCTTTGTGAGGTGGGCGTTACAGAAGACGTGGTCGAGAATAAGAAATGGCTTTGATTTTAGGCCATGTGGATTTTTTAGCAGCTCGAAATTTCTTGTCGGGTTCTTTAGACAAAAGACTTGATTAGTTGTCTGGCTATCTTAAGACCAATGGAAACTTGCTCAAAAAAGGTCAAACCTGTTCATCTATTTTCTTAAAGTATAACATGTAACTAGCTGAAAATTATAGGTATATTTTTCATCAAAAGTAAAGAAATTTTCTATCCAAATCATGGGAAAAATATTAAATAGGGTTGAAATTGAGCTTTATAAAACTATTCAATTCAAGCTTAAAGGCGTAAAATATTTGAAATTTTAGCAATTAATTAATTGACTATCACCACCAGTCATACCATCGGCGATCAATAAAGTGTTAAGAGCTAAAACTATTAAACTATCGATAGTGGAATTTTTCATTTGATGTCAGAATCACGACTGAAATGGTTTTTGAAGTGATGCATCACACGGAGTCCTTGCGATTGTGTAATTTGTTTCGGTAATTAATTACACGAAAAAAAAAACGCCCAAACCGACGTTAGACTGTACGTGGTTGGAACAATTTACAACATTTTTCACGATGAGCTTTCAACCTATTTGCGGTTTTTTTTAAAAACACTGAATTTGAGTGGATTGTGTATGCTACTGTTGCTTAAACCTTTAAATGTTTTTATTTGCAATCCTAAATTTGTTATGCAGAACTATATCTAACCTGCCATTGGGGCGATTTGGCATTTTTGATGGATAATCATTTAATTTCCAAATTGATCATTTTTCTCTGCTAATCACCCCCGCCCGCCACCTGTGTGTGAAATGATCGGTGTCACCGCTACGCTCCAGCGCGTCAACTAAGACGTAATCTAGCAAATTAATGAACTGTCATTTTAGCTCATCTCTTCACAAATGGCGGCCGGCAACTTCTTTTTACCTGAAAATTCATAACCTTTATTTTTTGATCGATCAAGTTTTCACGCCAATATCGATGCAGTATGAACGAACAATTATTCCCTAGCAAATGTTGGTCTGAAATATAACTACCGCAAAATGCGACTTATTACGCCAACTGCATTTTGCTGGTAGCTTTACTTTATTGGCAGATAATTTTTATCGACCAACAGCGCCTTACTTCTGGGAATTAATTTTTATCAAGATGAAAATCAGTTTAACATCACGTTTACTTTTATTTTGCTTAAATGTTGATTGACTGATAATGACTACTGGAAAACAATCAACGCCTAAAAATATAAATTTTCAGGCGTCACCTTTATGAGTGAATTGCAGAAAAAGTACTTCTTAAAACAATTTTTTTGTCCTGAAAAAGGAAAAATAAATAATTAGTTCGTTTTCATGCGACAAATACGTTGAATTATATACCACCTATGGCTTACCTCTAACCGAACAACTTATTTACTTACTTTCATATTTGACTTCCGTGGAAAACTGAAACAAAATATGCCTGGAGAAAAAACTATCCTTGATTCGCCTAAGGTGTCAAATTTCGATGTTTTAGCGTTTTCTATCAGCAAAACTGCGCATGGTGACACTGCTTTTAAATGGTACGCATGGTAATACTGCTCCTAAGTCCGGCGGAAACCTGATAGCATTTCACCTTCACTCTCAAGTGATCGCGACAACAAAAACAACAAAGAAAACAACAAACAATGAAAGGATTTGGTTTACCTCCTCGCGGTTTGCTGACGTTTTTGTACTAACCACATGGCATGTTTAAACAACCATTACCATTGCCTTTACCATTACCGTTTCTGTCAGACGTGTTCTATTGTAAGAACCTATTTAAAAAACCGTCCACTTTATAATCATCTTCTTGATTAAAAATTATGATGACATTGCATTTGCCAACCTAGACGCCCTGTGACATCTTGTAAATTCAGTCTAGGACGTGTTACGTCATTTACCAATTACGCAACTTGGTGATATTGGAATTTTCCTGTTCGGTGCTAGTATCTTGTTGGTCAGGATGTCTGTGACTAAGAGGGGTCTATTGGCACCGCAAAACACGTTCCTAGAAAACATCTGCAGAAAAGCCACATCACAAAGTAAGTTCGAATTGGCAATTACTTGCATGCTGGTCGCTTTTAAGATCAAAGACGAAAATTGGGAAATGAATTATAACCAAATTCTGGTTAACCTTTTAAAAGTGTAGTAAAAACTTTCCATTTTGTTTTTTATGAATGTATGCAGATTTTTTGCTAAACAGATTTTAAGAAATGTACAATAACTCCAACAATGAAACCTAAGAATATTTCGCAATATGTTTAGGTCTTTTTTTTTTAATTTTGAGAGTTTGGCATTTGCAGCTCATTTTCAAATTCATTTTCCAAGGGTAAGTTACGCTCTGTTATTGCAAAGTGCAAGTGGCTTAAACAACGGAGTTTGGTTCTTCAACGACATAATTTGTGATTTTTTCAAATTATAATACTCGTAACAATAACAGATTCAATTTAGCTTTCTAAAGTTATAAAAAAACTCTTGAAAGAGCGTTAGGTGATTTACGTTTTCTCAAAACTGGGAAGATAGAAAATTATATACGCAAGAGTGAGGGAGAGGTGTTAGCTTGATTTGAATGAGCGTTAAAGGTTATCTCTTTTTTGAATTTTTTTACAAGTCATTTCATTTTTGTCAAAACTACATCAGCTTTTATATTTTTAAAACTTTGTCTTTGAGTTAAACTGTTTACTCTTCTTTTTGCAGTAAAACTCGAAACCAAACAAACCCGTTCATCCCCAGCGTTCAGTTTTCTCGTTCGACACCCGTAACTATTTTCAATTTCACTATCCCCCAGCCCCCCTACAAATATCTCCCACCATACTAACCACCCCCCATAGAGAGGCAAGTGGGTATAAATAAGGGGCGTCGGTGATTTGACAAAAAAGAGAACATTTTTACAAAAACGCAATTAGATTTAACACAACTTGAAAAAAAATGAGACAAGCTAACAAACTAAAGTTTTAAATCATTATAAAGTGTAAATAGCAGTCAACAGGAGATAAAATATGGACGACTATTTTTTCGATAAAAAGAAAATGAATTTAATTTTTATTCAATTATAATCAATAAAAAAAACTTATTGCTATGAAAAACAAACAAAAATCATATAACTCATTTCTAATCAAGTATAATTTATTGTTTTCGAATTTTAGAGACTTTGAAAGTCCGATATAATCATTTTTTATCTATAAATCTCCAGTGCACGTATGCTTCAGTTCCTTCCCACTCTCTTCATTTTTTTGCGGCTCCTTTTATGAAAAAAAGGTTTTATAAGTTCATTGTATAAAATGAGATGTTTTCCTTGAAGAAAGTTTCCATATTAAATTTTTGTTCCTATTTTCTCAAAATTAATGGATTTTTTAAAAACCGAGTAGTTTTTTAGACAAATTTAATATAGCTATTTTTGAAGGGCACTTTCCCTCGCTCTTTTCAACTTTCCCTGACATTTCGAACTCGCTAATTTTTAGCTGTTTTAACTTTTTTAAGACTGGAGACGTCAAGTTACAATGTAAATTTTAAAGAAAAAATCCGTTCACAAGTTGGTTCACCATTCCAAGTTTCATTCATTCTAACAATCATGAAAAGTTTTTCAAAGGTAAAATTCAAATGTGGGATTGGAGTGGAAAAATCCTAACGTTTTCTATACCATGTGAAAACTATTGATGTATTGAGCTCAAACTTAAAGCAATGTTTCACCTGTGATATTTTTTTGTAAAATTATAAGAGTTTGAAGTATGTCAATTTGGTTAATTTGTTACAAGTAACGCGCGATAATTTTCTTTGGTTTATTGTAAGCTGCAATTTAAACCGGCTCAAAAATCCTTCCATTTTGATTTGAGGCAAAGTTTGGTTGCTAGGCAGCAGTTACGCCACTCTGAACTTGAATTTTACATAACATGTCGAGGTTATTTTTTTTTAAAAATGAAAACGCAATAAAAAAGAATTTTTTAAATCAATTTCTGAATTTCTCAAAAAGATGGCTGATTCGTCAGACTTTACGGGGCACTCAAGTTTATCAATGATTTGCACTGATAAACAAGTTCTCTTTTTTGGATCGGAGAGCAGTTTGATTGAGAATACGTCACCTGTGGCGGCATAGCGGTTTGGTACAAAAGCTTTAATAGAGCATTTATCTATTTACTACTTTGGAGTAAAATAATTTCAGAGATTCTTTTCCGTCATTTTACATTTGAAGAAAGTCTCTTCATAAAACTCTTTGCCGACGAATTCTTTTTGACAGCCTTTAAGTATTCGTTTCAAAGTCTACGTTTGAGGGGCTACAAAGAATTAATTTTTTATTGTATAGCGCAAGGGAAAAAAACTTTTTAAGTAACACAAAAGATAAAAAAAACTTATCGCGTAGCAGCTAAGGACTTTTTTTGGAATGAAAAAGCTAGCTCAAAAAAGAAAACAGTTTAGCACGTCAATTTTATAAATTTTATAAATTATAAAATGAATTTTTTTTTCTAAAATTTGATTTAAAAAAAATAATAATCACCCCACACGTCATAATAAGTACTAAGTGATAGATTTTGCTCCTATTAACAAATCAATTAGGGCATATAAGCTTCCTTGAACAAATTTGGAACGATTTCCAAGACGGATTAAATCTCGTTTACGCGTTAATAGCTCGAAGTATATCGCGCGTTAATTGTCCCAAATTGGCCAAAATGGCAATCTTTAAACCCCCATAACTTTACGAAAAATGATCACAGGTAAAATATCAATTCAAATTTAAGCTCAGGGCAACAATACTTTTTGAATGGTTTAAAAAAATTCCGTCAAAAAAGGCTAGTTAAAAAGTCGAAATTTGTTTGAAGAAAAAAAAACCCACCCCGAGCACAAATATTCCGTTACTTTCGTTTCTAAAGTCGGAACAATAAAAACTGTTTTTTGATGCTCACATTAGCATTACTCATTTTCTGTATATTATTTTAGCTTATTATTTTAGGTTATATTTTGCATGTTACAATTAAATTCCACCGGGAGAAAAATTATTTAACTTATGAAATAATGACTGTGAAAGACAAAGATGTTTTAATTCTTATGGTACCTCGCTGATAAACAGTTCTCTTCATGATTAGGCGCATAGGTTCAAATTTAGTATAAAAAGGTAACTGTTGCAAAAAGAAGGGTTAAGCAATTATAAATTAAATCAAAACTTAATCCAGATTAAATCAATATTATTCGATTTCATTTACAAGTTTTTGCCTTTTAGCTCCTCATTGCTCCGACTATTAAAAGTGGAGAGGATTTTTTTATTCGTGTGTTCTAGTTTTTTTGTTATTATTTTTATTCCGACTTTCGATACGAAAGTGACGGAATATTTGTGCTCGGGGTGGGTTTTTTTTTTCAGACAAATTTGACTTTTTAACTAGCCATTTTTGACGGATTTTTTATATCATTCAAAAAGCATTGTTGTCTTGAGCACAAATTTGAAAAGATATTTCAGCTGTGATCATTTTTTGTATAGTTATGGGGGTTTAAACATTGCCATTTTGGCCAATTTGGGACAATTAACGCGCGATATATTTCGAGCTATTAACGCGTAAACGAGATTTAATCCGTCTTAGAAATCGTTCCAAATTGGTTCAAGGCTAGTTAAAAAGTCGAAATTTGTCTGAAGAAAAAAAAACCCACCTCGAGCACAAATATTCCGTTACTTTCGTTTCTAAAGTCGGAACAATAAAAACTGTTTTTTGATGCTCACATTAGCATTACTCATTTTCTGTATATTATTTTAGCTTATTATTTTAGGTTATATTTTGCATGTTACAATTAAATTCCACCGGGAGAAAAATTATTTAACTTATGAAATAATGACTGTGAAAGACAAAGATGTTTTAATTCTTATGGTACCTCGCTGATAAACAGTTCTCTTCATGATTAGGCGCATAGGTTCAAATTTAGTATAAAAAGGTAACTGTTGCAAAAAGAAGGGTTAAGCAATTATAAATTAAATCAAAACTTAATCCAGATTAAATCAATATTATTCGATTTCATTTACAAGTTTTTGCCTTTTAGCTCCTCATTGCTCCGACTATTAAAAGTGGAGAGGATTTTTTTATTCGTGTGTTCTAGTTTTTTTGTTATTATTTTTATTCCGACTTTCGATACGAAAGTGACGGAATATTTGTGCTCGGGGTGGGTTTTTTTTTTCAGACAAATTTGACTTTTTAACTAGCCATTTTTGACGGATTTTTTATATCATTCAAAAAGCATTGTTGTCTTGAGCACAAATTTGAAAAGATATTTCAGCTGTGATCATTTTTTGTATAGTTATGGGGGTTTAAACATTGCCATTTTGGCCAATTTGGGACAATTAACGCGCGATATATTTCGAGCTATTAACGCGTAAACGAGATTTAATCCGTCTTAGAAATCGTTCCAAATTGGTTCAAGGCTAGTTAAAAAGTCGAAATTTGTCTGAAGAAAAAAAACCCACCTCGAGCACAAATATTCCGTTACTTTCTTCGTATAATAAGTATGCGCCAATTTCTTGTTGTTACGACTTTCGAAGAAAACAAAATAGTTCTGCTTAGAGTGGTTTTTCAATCCGTCAATTTGTGATGATCGAAATAATAGTTATTAACAAAAAGATTTTATACTCTATTGAAGATATCGACTTCCTGAAAACAATTTCAAAAGGATATTTTACCTAAAATTATTTTTGCAAACTTCTGGGAGTTTGAAAATTGTCATTTTGGCTATGCTCTTGATTATTTTATGCGCGCTTCGAGGATATTATTTATAATGCTGAAAGCGTAACGCGAATTATTTATGCATGGCGAATTATCCCGCACAACAAAATCGTTTTAAATTGAATTGAGGCTGGCTAATCGGTGGTCTTAATTTCTTACATCTTATTTTTTTTTACAACTGAGCTTTGATATTGTCCAAAATTTATAGTTTTTAAAATAGTTTTTGCCGAAATTATTTCAGATATGGACTAAGGGACAAGCGGAACATTTTAGGGCTTTGCCCTGTTATACGCGCACTCTTGTGTGGGAGTTTAAATTGATTTAGATGTATTTGAGTGTCAAAAAAG